AGGCAGCCCCAAGTACAGTGCGTTGCAATAGTCCAAATGGGAGGTCACAAGGGCATGAGTGACAGTGAGTAGAGCCTCCCAGTCCAGGAATGGGCGCAACTGACGCACAACCTGAAGGGGTGCAAAGGCCTTCTTAGCCACAGCTGCCACCTCCTCTTCCAGCAGGAGCCATGAGTCCAAGAGGACCCCCCCAATTGCGCACCAGGTCCATCTGGGGCATTGCCACCCCATCCAGAACCAAAGATGGAAGAACCTTGGTACTGGGAGGCCCCTTCAGATTCATGCAAAATAGATTTGGATGAATCTGAAGCAACTACACTTTGATTAGCTTCTACAGTTGTGATGAGAAGCTCAGTTGTGATGAGAGAAAATCTTAGTGACAGAAAATAACCACCACTTCAGTGAAAAATGTAACCATGATGCCCTTCTTGTAGAGTAAAATACAATTGAAAAGGAACTGGTTGAATTGTTGTTTCTTCTTTTCAGGGAATCCTGGGAACTATAGTTTAGAGAAGAGAAATTAGGCATACCTATAGAACTCCTGCCATCTCATCAAATAACAGTTCCCAGGATTCTTTTACAGAAGCCACAATAATTAGAATAGTATTAAAGCAGGGAAAATATTACACGATGTATGGAAATAGGGTTCTACTGAATAAATCTAACCTCTAAGAAAACTCTCAAGCATCTGAGAGCAAGAATCATATGAAATTGTCCATATGAAACAATTCTGCTTCCATTATCAGGTCCTTGAAACCAGGGAAATATGTGTCTCACACAGTCACATTTGTAATGCCTGTGATAATGAGGATCTAGGCTTTTCTAAAAAGGGGAACATAATGACTTTTATTCAAAGGATTTACTGGGTTCTTATTTATGCAAAAGGATACTTGCATCTTGGTTCTCAAGTACACTTTTTGGTTTGGGTATTAGAATACTTAGATAACCCCTCCACAATTCTGTAAATGATATTTGGCTTTGGATGCAATGGTGCACTTCTTGCCCTGCCCTAATGCTTACATAGTTTCCCCAAAGCATTTCAAACACCTCAAGGAATTTGTGGGATTACAAGAAGAACCAAACTCCCAGATCACACTGACTTTCTTCTTGCAGCTGATTCATAGCTAACTCACAAAGGAAAACAACAGCATTAGAGTGGAATCCTATGCAGTTCTTCCCAAAAGTACATCCTATTGAATTCATTGGGGTTTAGTCTTTAATGCAAGGTTCCTCAACCTCAGCAACTTTAAGATGGGTGGACTTCAACTCCCAGAATTCCCCAGCCAGCTGGCTGGGGAAT